CAAACCTATAAGTAGCAAGTATATATAAAAAAAGTAAATATTTCGGGTAGGACATGTATGTTTAAAAGCTCACCCGTGGATCAGAAATTATGATTCCCATAACATAGGCTAATAAGTCCATCAAAGACTGAAGTGAGTTCTGGACACCCCCAACAATCAAACGATCAGATTCAGGAACAAGATCCTATACAAAAAAAATTAATGAAAGAAGTGAGGCCAAGATGACTATTAAGAAAGAACTTCAGTGATTGATCGTAGACATTTTTAAAATAAAATATTTAGGAAAATTTGAATAACATCAGGTAATAAAGGTAAACTTGCCTGCATTTGCTGAAGCACAGACAAATCAAACATCCACAATCCAAGGCGAGAAATGGCTACACTTCCCATAAGAATATATGATGATAGAAAGCCCCTATGGATCCATATTGCAGCTATACATGGAATGAGGCAAGTCCACTGCAATTGAATGCACAACATACATAAACAAGTACAACATAGATCGGTAGGAATAACCCATTTAATGAAACAACCTATATACTATTGTTATACAATAATACATTTTTTTTTCAGTTCACATAAAATTGAATAATATTTGACTGGTACCCATCATTTATACAGAACATTTTAGTGCCATTCATTACTTAATTTATACCTGAGACCATACAGACCAAAGTCCTGCTCTAATAGTTGATATTTGAGACTGTAGCATAGGATATGCAAGTGTTGCTGCAATTCCAATCGCAGCACTTATTCCTCTTGCCATTCCAATAACAAATGCAGGTATACCTTCCCATTCTAAGGTGGCTGTCATCAAAGTTCCAAAGCTGAGGAAAAAATTGAAATTGTATCAATGACTGTTATTAGAATATAAAACAGGAAAAATATCTTTATCTTGATTCTAATAACTCTTCATGCTCAACAAACAGAAAAAAATGTAAGACATGTTTCTACGTACAGAGAATAGTACAAAATTAAAAGGGAAAGCTTCATAAATAAACTTGATATTTTAAGCATTATTGGAAAAGGCTAATTCTGAGTAGTCTTTTTTTTTTTTTCATGTAATATTTACTTGCTACACTTTATTTGCAGGCTTTCACCTGAGTACAGTGAAAAATAGCAAAGCCAGAGCCAGTCCAGGAAGGGCAACTTCTTGCTTTAAATAAACTTTCCATGCAGCAACATAAGGAATTTCTGAAATCTTTTCACAAAGTTTTTTACTTTGTTTCCTATCCACCAATTCTGAGCTACCAGCAGTAACAGAAAGCAAGCTATCTTCCTCCAAAGTTGGATTGCTTCTTTGTTGCTCACTTTGTGATAGTCTTGCCATCCTCCTCTGGCTACTTTCGTCTAATGCTGGAATCCCATTATATACAGATGTGAAAAGCCAATACTCCACCCAAACGGACACAGTATTCCACAGTGCTAAAGTTATAGCAGATGCTTTTAGTGAAACAAAGCTTATTATAAACCCAGTAATAACTGGAGCAAGAAGTTTGCAGGTTAGATCAATGCGTCTCATAACTGAATTCATCTTTGTCAGCAATTCTGGGGGTTGACCTTCCGCTATAACTAACAACCTGTATAATAAAAACAAGAACAATATCATGTTCTTTACAGAAATATTTATTCTCCATTTAATTAAGCATCCCTAATAATTCAGTTTAAAGACATTAGATTATGTAGTATGAGCAAAGGCATTACATTTTAAACTGACATAATAGAGGAGGTAACCATTCTTGGAAATATCATTTTTCCTTTACTGGGCACAATTAAACTACTTGAAAACCAGAAAAAAACTTAGAATAATTAATATTCTTCTGAGTTGTAAATTTGAAAGGTAGTAAAGAAAACAAATAATTTTACCATTCTCTTTCAATCAAGATTGTGCCGGCAAGGGTAGAAAGCACACCAATGCCACCACAGATATTGATGGTCCATAACAGTAATGGGAAAGCTGAAAAATTTGTAAACTTCAAAGGTGAGTTGACAAGTAAAACAACTACAGTTGCCCCGGCAATAACAAAAGAGAGATTTTGTGTCACCAACCACAACTGCAAAACCTGCCAATAAAGTATGCTGACAGAGTTATTTCACCAAAGACACATTGATCTTCATCATCAAAGAATTAAGAACCAAATTTAAATAACTAAAGCTACCTGTGTCAGATATTGCTATATTCTTTTTCATCTTTGAATTATTCATCTCTTATTCTTTAGATAATTCTTGAAAAGATTTTGGCATTTCACATGCATATGCTGTTAGAATCTAAGGTCTTAAAGAATCTGATGGATAGGGAAGTCCAGAAACAGAACGAAGGTTTAAGCAAAGAATGATACGCTACATCTTGACCAAAATTTATGGCATAATGTTTATAAGCTGTTTCACTTATATAACACTCTCTTTACCCATTTCTTTCCATTTTCTAGGGCTTCTTCATTCGTACACACATAATAGTAAAGCTGAAAAAAAATGGACCAAACACAAAAGTAGCCAGTCAATACTGGACCCATAAAGTAGAATAAAAAAAATCTTAAGTTATCATTTAGCTTTTAGCAAAAGGACAGAAAGCTTTACAGGTCAGAAGCACAAGTAGTCCTTGAATAAAAGCAGATAAGCTAATTGGTAATACTTTGGGCTCACACCTTCACATAAGACAACTTATCAACCCATCTTCCAATTATGGGACCACACACAGCAATGGAGGCAGATTCAACGGCACCATATATTGCTGCATACAGCAAGGACTCTGGCCAAATATTGATCATGTATAAACCAACAGAGAATTCCCACATCCTGAAACATAGATGCACAGTGAATTTAAGTAGCAAAAACCAAACCAAACCAAACCAAACAAAATAGCGCAGCCCAATCCCTGGGAAACAGTGATTTTGAAAATCTCAACTCCCAAGCCAAGAAAGAATGATCCTAATTGACTGACTAACTCACAGACACCTTCCATGCATTTATATTATATCTTATCTAATGTGGTCTATTTCCCAGCTTGGTACAATTAAGGGTAATTGATACAATTAAATCACACATCCCACTAAAAAAATTTATCATTTCATAGCACAAACAACCATTTCAATTCATCCGCTTTGGTAACAGGGCAGAAACCCATTTTCCTATTCAGGGAGATTTACAAAACTACAAAGAAGAAAAAGGAAAATTTTCTTTGCATTCTTGTAAAAATGAAATCAATTAAGCACCGGAAACAATAGCTATCAGTGGCCTATCTATCAATAATATTTGAGTTCAAATAATTAAATCAATGGTGAGAGGTGAAAGGAAAACCTGGCATCCCATCTAGCTAAGAAGTGACCAATATACAAATGCTTGATCAGAGAAGATGAAGTTTGCTGTTCTTTGGCAAGAAAAGGCTCTCTTGTCAATGTGATGCTTTCTTCCATATCAGATTCTTTCTTCCCTTTCACTCACTCCCTTTGACCATCAAATTCTAGAGCAAGCAACAGCATGCAGTTTTTGTTATCGTCTCCATTTGATAATGATAGTCAGTGATAAAAATAAATAAAATAAAATAATAATAATAATGATGATAATAATAATAATAATAATAATAATAATAATAGAATAATATAGGTTGGTTGAATAGCACATAGAAATTAGAGTGACGCAATTCTCTTAAAGAGGTTTTATCTGTGTTGAAACTTTAAAATATTTTAGTGAAATTAATTTTTTTATGATCTATAATAAGATTAGGTGAACAACATAATACATTATATACCCTTATGATGAAAAAACATTATAGGATGTCGTGTAAGTTTTATTTAATGAAGATACACAAGTAGAAGAAGTTTTTCTCTTAATATTATCTAAATGTATTTTATAATTAAAGTGCTATAGAATAAAAAGATGGATTCATCAGTACACTTCAATGTTGTGAAAGTTGCTTCAATCAGTGACCTGATCGAGGTTTTGAGTGTTAGACCATTAGACCCTTGGCTGACTAAATCAACATTAAGAAAAGTATAAATATATATGATATCTTAACATATGATAAATCCAACCTAACACTATTTTATTTTTTATCATTATAAAGTTGAAGAGAATATGATTTGAAATTTCACACTTCAAAACATATAGAAAGTTTCTTTTGCATCTCTAGGTTTCTTCCTTTATTTCTAAATAAATATTTTTTATTTTTATTTTTTTATTGAAAAA